GCTGTTTGAAACAAGTGCACGTGTACGTCGTCTGTTAAACACGTTTAACCTGCTTAGCTCAATATGTTGTATCATCTGAGTTCCTCCTTACTGTCAGGGTGTCATTTGAAGACAGGATCTCAGTTGAAGAAGAGGAAATGAAGGTTTAAAATGAAAGTGGCCTCCTCAGTGTCCCACATCAGGGGGAGGCTCTCCACATTTCTAGGAAAAGGAGAGTTAATCTGCAAAGTTAAAGGTCCAGTGTGTAGGGTTTAGGGGGATAAAATAAGTATATTTTCTTAAGTTTATAATCACCTGAAAATAATGATCGTGTTTACATTACCTCAGAATGAACAATTAATAATTACATAGCGAGCGGGTTCTCATGTATGGAGATCACCATGTTGTGCTGCCATGTTTCTACAGTAGCCAAGAATGGACCAACCAAACACTGGCTCTAGATAGGGCCGTTAGCGTTTTTGTGTCAGCCACTATAGTTAGCAGCCCCTCCGCCACAAGCAACCTCAAAGACACACTCATTTGTAAAGTGAAACTGCTTTACTCATTGTTTTTTACAGTTTTAATTTATCGGGTCCATTTATTTTGGAGAGGGGGAGACATCTGCGAATATTTCGGCTCACTGTAAAAACCTGAATAATTGGATCAGAGATAAGGTGAGCACACAATTGAGCTATCAGAGAAAAAAGGTGAGCACACAGCAGCTGCTCGGCCAGCCCGGTGTCTGTGACACACCTAACAGCGTTGGAGAAGCACTGTTTGTAATGTGAAACGGCTTTATTCTTTGGTTTTAATCACATGGGGTCTCATTTAGAAACATGTACACACAAAACAAGGCCTGAAATAGGTGCACGCCACTTCCCATGTATAAATTGTGATCTATAAAAGCAGACTTGATGGGAGAAACTTTGACGCATGCTTATGAACATTTTGGAGACAGGAAACTGGCAGCACAGATGGTGAGGTGGAAGCCTGATTATAGAAATGGTTGAATATTTATGGGCGCATGCCATTTCTGGCTTTTGTTCGTACATACATTTATAGTATGGATCCTACGCATTGTTTTATAAATGAGATCCCTGGTCCGTTTTTTTTTGCGGAGACCTCTGGACAATTCAGCTCCCAGTAAAAACTCCTAAACAATGAACACTGAAAGAATTCTAACCAGGAGACATTTTAGTTGGGTACAGTCTGCAATATGTGTTGCTAGATGCCTTAAAATCTTACACAATGGTCCTTTAATATTGCAAGTTCCAAAAAGTGTAATGATGCAACCAGGGTACAAAATTAGCACCGTCCACTAGCTGAATGCTGGTAAAATATGCATGGGGCTGGTAAATTTGCTTCACTCACCAGCCAAAAAACAATAACAATCTATTGACGGGCTGGTAAAATTTAAACATTAACTAGATATTTGGCAGGTGGACAGAAAAGTTTTGTTTTGCACCCTGGATGCAACATTTCCTGCCAAGTCTTCATGAGCTTCACCTGACGAAGACCTTGAAGAGGTTCAAGGTCAAGTTTTTGTATGCTGCCTTAGCTTACAGCTGCAATGTAGGTGACTTATCACTCAACAGAAAGTTAGTTGGCAACTATTCTGATAACTGACTAATTATTTTAGGAATTTTTCCAGCAACAAAAATTTGCTGGTCTCGTGCTTCTGAAAGGGAACCACCTAAATTAAGAATTCCAATATGTTATTTCCACGGCCGAGTAAAATTCAATAAGTATTTGTGACCATGAGATATTCTCTATCAAAGCCAGACACCTGAGTAGTGAGTCTCAATCTGTGATGTCATTAAGTTTAAAGTCTAGAGCTGCTCCATAGACAATGAATGGGAGACTGATTTTGTGGATCCAAGGGAATGTTTGTTTTCTTTTTTATACCCAAATGAGCTTTATTCTATTGTGGCGTTCTCGATTCTAAAACAGAAATTGTCCCCATATACTCAGAACGTTCACCTGGGTGCTCTCACTGTCATCTTTAACATCTTTTCTGATTCATTGTCTACGGATCAGCTTTAAATCTGACGACATCACAGATTTGAGTTTTATCACCCTAGTTTTCGGATTTAAGAGAAAGAGTTGTTCGTGTCTACTGATATTTTGCCACTCTAGTACTTACACTTCCTCTTAGACCAGAGGAATAATGTGTGAATTTTGACAATGGGCGAAGTTCCCCTTTAAAGTGGTTGTCTCAGTGCCCCACATCAGGGGCTGCTTCCTCCACATGTCTGGGGAAAGGACAGATAATCTGAATATTGCTCCAAAAAAATTTAATGATGCAACATTTTGTATTATGTGTTATTTGGGCATTAGTTGCTGTTATGGATATGTACCAATATTCCTGCCAGTTCTATATTACCAACACCAGTTTAGTTATAGCATGATATATGATAGCAAACTGGCATTAGCTGTCATTAGCTAACGTAGCTGTAGCTAACACCGGTCACTCAACAAGCCACCTGCCCAGTTCGCCGCTGGTTCTCTTTGCACCACAACTTAATTTCCCTGCGATGGCTGTTATTTTTAATTACTCTTAGGTGCTCCAGGTCTCGTGGACACTTAGCAGGTTCATAATTGTACGGCTGTGGTCCGTCATATGCATATGAATACACAATATTAGCTTATTCTGTGTCAAAACTTTCAATGCTTATTTGCCATTGTTACATTTGGCTGCTCTTCTTGTAGTTACGTCACATCCTGTTGGACTTTTCTTGAAGAGGAAGTAAGAATCCCTTATAAAAATGACTCTAGATGTCACGGTAGTGGATTTTTATGTATATTTCTTTTGAAATCTAGTGTCCACATCAATTTCCTCCACACTGAGTCACTGGGGGCTCTAACCTGCAAGCTGCTCTTTAAAGTCTTCACTTGACAAAAATCGTGAAGATCGAAATGACGTTCAAGGTTATCATGCTGCTTTGGTCTAGAGCTGCAACAAACAGTCAATTTATCCATCAGTCAATCAACAGAAAATTAACTGGCAGCTCTTTTGACAATCAAATACTCTATTTAGTACATTTTTGAGCAAAAAAGCAAAGCATTTGCTGGTTTCATGCTTCTTAAATGGGAGAATTTTATGCTTTGCTTTGTCATACGTAATAATCCCAGCAAGCATTTTTTTGTTTAAAAAACATCTAATAGCCGTCTACATGAAGACCTGACGTCTAGGCTAAATCATGGCTGAATTTGGGCTGTCAGTGAAAATTTGGTAGACGTCTAGCCATAGCCAAAGTGTAGACGTCATCAATTATACGGCTATGTAGAGACCATGTCCAAAAAATGCAGATAAACATATTTTAATTACTGTTGACTCTCCATACGTGATTGAATATCATACCGCACGCCATCTGCAATGGCGAAAATTACATTTAATCAATTTCAAAATTAAATCGGCTAGATTTGGGTTCCATGTAGCTAGACTAAATCGGAGCTAAATATAGCCAATACGTTTAAATCATGACTATTGCTTGCTGAATAGCTTTGGATTTTTGGACTTGGTCGGCTAATACACAGTGTACCATTTAAGGACGTCACCCTGGTCTGTGGGAAATTCCACAGGGCATGTTTCACTATTTTCTGACATTTTATTGACAAAACGATTCGTCTAGAAAATAATGAACAGATTAGTTGATAATGAAAATTATCATTAGTTGCATCCCTGCTTTAGTCCTGCACCTGTACCCAACTGGGTCGGACGTGCACGTTGCTTCATTCACACTTCGTCACACAATGTACGTCAGAGGTGCCTGAATCATTTCAATGGTATCAAACGTGGCCAAGAGAAACGTCGCTTCAAGTTCTTATTAGATCCTGAATGTGTTGGGAGTTGCAGTGAGGGAGTTACTGAAATAATAAAACATATTTACCAAGTGTCCACAGTGTATTAGTCACACTTCACAGCGCGTACTCTACACATGATTATTTTTAATATTGTCTCAGTTTAACACCAGTGTTTACACTTCTGATGACTGTTTAAAGGGAATTACTTGGTAATAAAAAAACTGAGTAACTGCCCAAACACTTCTTAAACACAGGCTGAGGTGGGAGCAGCCTTCAGGTCACATCAAACCACTGAAGTTGTGCACAGCAGATTGACGCTCATCAAAGACATTGTGACAGTGACAGTATTGAATGTTGGTAATGCTTCATTTCACTTAATATAATAAATATTTACTTGGGTTTTTTTTAAAGGAGTTCTGCCTTAATTATTATACTGTAATTCCTTGAAAGAAACCTGAGTAAACATTCATTAATAATTTACTACTGGACACTTTATTAATATATTTGTTGAACTGAACGCTTGTCTGTAGACAAGTAACCCTAATAATTGCATGTCTGGCTCACCTGCTATGCACTGACCAGAAGACTCAAAGTTACACAAGCAATTAACTGAAAGTCTACCCAGTGTTTTTCCTATAATTCAAATTAAATAGCCTAAGAAACTAAATATTATAGAAATGCCTGACCCGCAAAATCAAGTGTTGTTTACTGTAATGTTAATTTGTCATTTTGTCTGGTAAGACATAAATAAAGCTTGCTCACAACATCTCTGTTTATGCCTCCCATACACTGGAATACTATAAAAATACTTTTTGAAGACTAAAGTCTGACAAAAAAAAAAATAAAATAAATAAATAAAGAAAAATAATGTGCCGAAATCCCTTTAAGAAATATGACAATAATTCCTTACATGCCCGCAAAATCACGTAACTTTAGGAACACAAGCTAAAAGGCGTCATATTTCAACAGTATTACTGTCAATTCAGCATTAGTATAATCCATAAAGATAAACTGTATTTGTGTACAAACTTTTTGGATTTTGTCATCTCAACTCGCTGCCAGCCTCCATTTGTTAGCTGTGCTATTTTAGTGGGAGGAAACCGTGGGAATGTGGCGATGACTGTATATAAAGACGGTAAGACGACTGAAGACAGCCTGGACTGAGTTTTACGATCACCTTCCATCAAACAATCAAGATCACAGGAGTCCGCACTAACTGAGGCAACACTCTCATGATTTTATTCCGACATTGGGAATTCGTCTGCGACATTGAAACTGCTTGAAAAGTCGTTCGTCTTAAGGCCGGCATTAATGAGGACAAGAGTAGCTTTGTGCAACCTGGGATTTATTCTATAATACTATAGACATACTCTTAAGACTTGAATTGACAGGAAACTCCTCAAAGGACACAAGGATGAGGCTACTGTTTATAGACCATCTTTACAAAACTATTATCCAAAAAGATAAGTCGCCTGAAGTCACTACATCAAGTGTCGACTGACTAGAAGTATCTGCAGAAAAACATTGTGTGAGCTCAGTGGCATCTTCTTAGCTTAACTGGATGACAATGAAAACACTAACAATGACAATGTCGATCATGTAGAGTGATCAGGTGTAACAGGCTGGGATTTCCTACTCTGTTTTCTGCACATACTGTAACATGAATGAAACCTGATCATTTATATTTGAATACAAACATCAGTGGGATGTGAAACAACACCATGTTTTTCAAGTTCAATCACAGGGACGGGCAGCCAAAGTCATAGAGGGCAGGTTGTCTGTTCACAGCCCTGTATGACACATGGTGGCCCATCCCTGCTCTGGCAGTTCCAGTTGTTGTTATTCCAGTTTATGTCGCCCCAAAAACACAATACACCTTCATTCCTTGCATAACCTGTTTTGTAACATCAGGATGTTTTTGTTTGATGACAGAAATCTATATCTAAGAACTAGTCTGAGAAAGGTAGTTTAAGTTGGTTGAACTCCTCATCTTCACTTACTGCCGTGAATAGTTACAGCGTATGAATGAGCTGTCGTCTGTGTGATACATTCACTGTCCGTGAGGGAATTTCCTCTCTTGCTGCAGTAATAAAACAATATAAAAACATTTAAATATCATTGCAATTATTTTCTACCACAGTTTCAATTTAAAACGTACTAATGCTGTTTTGCCCTGACTGTCTCTGATCGAAAGCACTGATGCAACGACATGCTTTCCTGTTAAGGTAAAGAAATAATACTTGTCCGAAAGAGTTCATTCCTTCTTAAATAGTGTAAAACTTTTGTAGTGTTTGATTCCAGTAGTCAGTGTCTGTCAAGTCCAACAAGTGTCAAAAGAGGGTTCAAAAATATCTCGGAACCAGTGTACAAACTATTGTTGAATGAGGCGGAGCGACTATTGTAGCACTAAGGGAGAGTCTTATAGAAGAGATAAGAAGCCGTTATCTGTGGAGTCTTGCTGGTCAGATTTGCCACCTCGAGAGCTCTTGCTGGGATTTGGGGTGGTTGAATACTTTGGGGGATATCTGATGAAGAGACGGTCCTCCTCCTTTTTAATCCACCTTAGGAGCTTAGTGATAGCAGTAATAGCGCAGGCCTTTGTCACCAGAGGACTGAAGCAGGTGTACAGCTCAAACTTACTGGTGACCTACAACAGAGAAGAAAACAGACATTTTAGGTGGGTTTTTCTCAGGAAACTGAAACAATGGCTGTGTTCAAAATCACATACTGACATACAATTCATACTATTCATGCTAAGTATGATATCTCTGGTGTAAAATTGAGTATGTAGTGTGTTCCGGCTGCATACTAAATTACCGAGATATTCCAAGTATCGCACGAAAATGCATTGCAGCTATTTGAACTGTTGAATGGCGGAGTACGAGGCAGACAGCTATAATAATTAACCGTTAAAAATAATTAGGAATGATACCTTTAAGGTATCTTAAGACAAACAAAAACTGGGATTTGCTCCTGGACTGCCCCCGTCATCTCAGCAAACTTTCTCTTACTGCCATCTTTAGAGCAGCTCCCCTCCCAACGAACGGTCGGTTCAACATCTGCCCGCTTAGCACGAGCTAACACAGCAGCAGCGGCTAACATCTAAACCCGAGCTGTTTAACGGTCCCAACAAACGGGGCTCCACTATGTTGTTAAACCCATTAAGAACCATAATGAATCATTAGCCGTGCAGTGCTAATAGTTAGCTCTGTCACTGTGTGCGTGCAGCTGGGCGGACTCTCACAACTGTCCCCAGCATGGAGCTCACACTCCCGCAGCAGCAGCAGCCACAACCCATACAGTCTGTGGTGTGGTGATGTGGAGCACAGTGTATTTGACGGTTCAGTGTGCCGAGATGCCATCAAAACATTCATAATTATGGCTTTACTAGACGGCAGTCCATTCACATTATGGATATCGAATGACGTACTCTATTGGTATCAGCATCACTTTAAGAGTACTAGTGTTGGTATTGGTATCATAATTTTTTAAAATGATATCTAACCCTAGTGATGTTAAGGTACAGTTAAGAAGAAAAGTGTGGGAGGTCACATATACAGCATGTGCTGTAAAACCTATTTATCAGTAAAATATTTGATCATCTTAATTCACCTTGAAATAATACTAGATATCATTGAAAATATACTATGCAGGATTTTCCTAACTCATACAAAAGTAATCCCTCTTAATCATCACTTATGACTGATTAGAAGTATGTGGCGGTATATTTATATACAGAGACTCTACCCTCTGCCTGTATTTTCTTATTTTCCTCTTATTTTGCCGGGTTAGGGTTGATCCTAGGAACGGTACACAAGTGAGGTCGGGACTTTAAAAAAGATAGTGACCATCAGCCACACTGTAAGCAGCACACATCCAAGAGAAAGCTATGCAAATTGAGGACACGGCGCCAAAAAAAAGGAAGCAAATCCAGCCAAGCACAAAACACCAAGCAGAGTGCATCTGGCCCTGGTTCTCCCTTTCACTGACCATACTGTTTACACACACTGACCGATGACACCTGCCTAATATTTATTTAAATTGGGTGGAGGAAGTAATGCTGACTTATATTTCTGATTAACAATTTTCATTCAACTGGAGCACGGACAGGTAACTTTGTTATTGTCATGTGAGGCAAAGATTATGTGTTGCTTGATTATACTTCAGTGTGGGCAGCCTGCTGATGATGGAATACCTGATTGTTACTTCAGTAGGTTGTTTGCAGTACATACTGATACAGAATGTAGTTGGCAGTATGTTAGTAAGTGGTATTGAACACAGTATTGAACACAACAGTTTGACACTTTAGGAGATACTTCTTTTCACTGTCTTGCTGAGAGTTAGATGAGAGCAACAATACTCTCATATCTGTTTATTAAATACATAGCAAGAGCCAGCAGCCGTCTGACTTAGCTTAGCATGAAAACTGGAAACGGAGGAAAGCTAGCACCTCTAACACTCACTCATTAACAGGTTATGTGTATACTTTGAGACGAAACAGTCTAGCACGTAACCCCCCTAGTAAAACCACAACTTCTTGTTTTTACACTTTGTACAAGTTAAACCTTGGGGCATAGCCAATCCTGCTGTTTCCTCTTGTTTCCAGTCTTCATGCTAAGCTAACTGTCTCCTAGCTACAGCTTCATATTAAACAGACAAACAAAAGTTTGACATTGATCTTCTTCTCATCTCAGAAAGCAAACAACTGTATTCCCAAAATGTTTCCTTAAATAACCCTCAAACATGTTCAGACACCGTCGTGTCAAAGAGAAGTGAATGCATGCAAAACAGTATTCAGAGGTTGTAGATAGTAACAGTGATAATGTATTCGTAAATGCAGCCACATACCCAGGCTAGCAGAGTTTCCCTCTCAGCGACGTGGTAGATGAGCTTGAGGGGTCGTGAGGTGCTGTGGATGCGGCTGTGCATATAACGATAAAGGTCCAGCAGTCTCATTTTCTCCTCCTCGCTGCTGTACGGTGCCTCCATCTCTGGGCTACAGCAACAAATCATAGAGTAAAGGTTACAGACAGAAAAGGCATAAAAAGTTGGGGCTATGATGCTGAGTTTTTCAGTCATCAAACTACTGATTTTGATGCCAATGAGACAAAGTTTCACAGCCTAACTAAAAAATAAGTATTTCTACTCTTTGTAACATTTTTTGTAACAACAGTACCATGTGAATCAAAATATCGTCAAATTATTATTTTATAAAGTGTGGAGCTGTAATTATTTGTATGATTTCACTTTCGTTTTCAAGGTCTGGATTGGCTGCTGGCTCATGTAATAAGACACCTAATGCTTTCAGTTCAGCTTGTTAACAGATAGGCAGGATTAGAGGAGAACAATTTGCATTTCTTGCCATTTTTATTTCTCTGTGCCCTTGTAAGTGGAAGCTCCTTTAAAAAAAAACACCTCATATTCTGAAGTACCCAATATAAAACTGGACGCTTTCATTTATAAACAAAAAATACACTTGACTGCATTTTTTCTTTGAGGAAATTGTTTTTCATACTTCCTCTTACTTTCTTAAGTCATATTTTCTTGAGCCAAAGAAAATGTTATATCATAGACACATTCATAAAAATATATTTCTTAACAACAAGGCACCAGTTTAGGCTCATATGTCACTCATGTAGTTGCATTGATAATGAGATACACACACACCTGGTGAACTGAGTGAGCTGGCGGTAGTTGTCTGGCACATCAAAGGGCTTGTACATGAAGTGTCTGAGGTCTGAGACGCCCACCTGGCTCACGCTGTACGACTGGACTTTGGCAATGAGGCTCAGGGAGTTATGAGCCGTCATGGCCTCCTCTATCTTCCTCTTGCACTCAGCTACAGCGTAGAAAGCCTCCTTGTCTGTCGAGAGCAGCAGCAAGCAAACAGTGCATTCTGGAGGGTCCAGGTAAGAAATGTATGCATAAAAGTAACAGTCAGGATTAAAGAGTGGGAGACAGATGGGAGTCCAGATCTCCCCAGCCTGAAAGGCAGAGGAGGCTCCAATGAGGTTGAGCAGGAGGTGGACGTCAGCGGGCTCCAGCCTGGTGTCCTCAATGACTGTCTTTTCTTGGACGATGGTGAGTAGCTGGTTATTGGCAATGAGGATGGAGAAAACCAGATTGGGGGTGATTGCTTTCTGCAGGATCTGGCTGAGAGAGTCCCTGAGAGAAGAAGCGAGGGGCAGGCAGTGCACTGCTGCTAGCAGAAAGCTGGGGTCAGAGTCCACCAGGTTGAGAAGACCGTCCAGGATCTTCTCGGAGCCTGCCAGGAGCCTCCTCAGGTCGTAGTTTTTCTTGTGTTCGAAGATGCGGGATATGCTGGCCTGGGTGAGCATGCTGATGATCTGATAGTACACATAGAGGAGCTCTCCACGCAGCTGCTGCTCAGACTGACGACTGCTGGAGACACACACCAGCACGAGGGGTCCTTTCTGTAAGAACACCACGGTGTGCCCCTCTAGAGGAAGGAAGACATCAGCAAATATTAAAGATAACACTAGAATCAACAGTCACCGTCTTTTAACAATGCCCCCAATGAAATCTGCACTCAAAAATATGACAAATATTGACATGTTTTGGACTTGAATTGAGTGTAAATGTATCAGGCCTTTCCAAAATAATGTTGCACTTCAAATAAATACAAAGGGTGCATTAACCTCTCCTTGCTCATCGCATTTCTCAATGGTGCAGTTTTGTCAATTGGTACTAAATAACTTCCTGTCTATAGCCGCTACAGCCACATTTACTGGCCGCTCCTACCCACAATGCTCTGTGAAATGTGTGCACTTGCTCTTATTATGTAAATAGAAGTTTATATTTACAACAATGTTACATATGCTAAGCAAAAAAACACTAATTCTCTCACCTGAATAGACCGAGCGGATGATATTATCTCCACTTTGAACAAAGGACACCAGCGCCATCATGACTCCCATTGTGGATGAAAGAGCCTCTTCACTGCCGTACCGGGAATAGATGGGTTTGCCTGCTTCGCTCAGCACAAAAACATGCTTCCTGTGCTGCCGCCAGCCGTCAGTTGTCACATCCTCGTCACGATGAGACATAAAAGCCGGAGTTTCCTGGGTGCCTGCCTCCAACAAGGGAGATGACCTTCCCTTCACACCTATACCTTGCTCCTCCAGCTTGGCCTTGGCCAGCATTGTAACAACAAACTCCCCAGAGTCGCTGCGGTCATTGTCAGTGGCAGCATCCTCTGTCTCTGTGTCAGACGGCTGCGTGGACGCATTGTTCTGACACTCAGAGTTTTCTGTCGCCTCAGTCTCTAGCTTCGTTACCTGGTTTGAATCGGGCTCTGCATCCTGACTCTTCTCCTCGGCTACAGCATCAGACGGGAGTGAATCTGCAGGCTCCTCTTTGCTGACAGTGGTGCTGTGGTTTCTCTCCACAGGATCCGGGAACATGTGATTCCCCAAGAGGGAGAGAGAAGTCGCCAACGTGTCAGCTAAAATGAAAACAACAATTCAATTAGGAAATGAATGATAAAAATTGATATATGTGAGCAATTTAAAATGGAGGATTAAATCATATACCAGGTGGATTGCTCTCACAGGATGGTTCACAAATCTTCACTCCCTGTGCCTCTCCTTCTTGATGATTGTCTCTCTCCATGATACCATCCCAGTCACTGGAGATTAAAAAGAAAGCCAAACAATAAACAGCTTATAACTGATGATTATCAGGGGTTATAGCTCAACCTAGCATCTCAATCTCTTATGAATAGGAGCACTCATACTGGTCCAATGGTCAGGTCACATGATTACAGAGGAGAACTGGTTACAGAGAATCACAACTCCAAGATACCAAACAGACTCTGGAATTTAACACTGATTACAACTTGAGCAGCCTGGCTAATGTTAAACTATAGATAAACGGCGGTCAAAGAGATGAAAGTAACTGGTATGTGACCGCCACAACTGAGGAACTAACGTTTATTAAATAACAGCTTAACTTACTTCTGAAGCCGTTGTTAGCTTGTCTGCGAACGTGCTCACTGTCAATATGGCTTACTTTTTAATTGTGATAAATATCTGACTGTGAATTCCGATACAACAGAGTAGTAAATGCTGGCTGTACTTACATGGCTAATGCTAGCAAGCGGCACACACACACAGATCAATTTCATGGCCTTGGCTTAACAGTGAGCATGCAAGCAATCGTGTTCAACTAAAAATAGACAGATAAGGAATAAAGAATTAAACTTACGATTTTGTACCGCCGAAACGTTGGGCTGAATATCTAGTTCGCTACATCAACTTTCATCAGCAGCCCGGCTGCAAACAAGCTGTCAAGAATGAGAAGCAGAAAACAAATTTTCCTCTTACGACAGCAGACATCCGGAATCTCTGATGACAAGCTAAACTGACCAATCAGGCTGCTCAGTGGAGACGGCTAGCCCCGCCCCCCTCAGGGACGCACTGCGTAAGACAGCAACGTAAATGTTAGCCATGATTTTAGCTGGGTAAGCTAAAAATACAAACTGTTATTGGATGTTTTAGCGGTTTGTTCAAATAGTATTAAAACCCATCACCGGTTAACATGTACGTATTGCATCGCTTCAACAACAATACTTAAAAACTGGGATGGCCACGTGCATTTTCAGCGAATATATTCTTTATATGTAGCTAGCTAACGCAGCCAGGGGCTAATTAACTACACAGGTGTTTGCAGTCTCGTGGCGTTCCCTTCAAAATAATAGGGAGAAATTTTAATTCCTCATATATTACCCGTAATATAGCAGCGGGTTGGATCTTTAGCGGCATTTTCGACGTCTTAAAGAGGTCCATTGTATATCCGGTGAGGTTAAATATCTACCAGGGGCAACTTTAACGTTTGAAATTAATATTTACTGCATGCACTTGATATTGCTCCGACATGCTGTAGCCTATAGCTAGCGTGAAAATGCTGGACATAAACGTTAGCTCCCCCGGCAGAGCTTTCTATCATTCATGACAGAGAGAAAACGTCCGTGGGGTCACGAAAATACTGCTGAAGATCCAACCTGGTGCTGAACCACGTTTATAAAGTAACATTTAGATTTACCGTGTATGGTTTGCGGAGGGAACGCTATGGGAGTGCTCAACTCCCAAATGGGGTGTGCTAAATTATCTACCATTTTGTGCAGGTATTAGCGTACATTTTCAGTTGCAACGCTTAGAAAACAGTGAGATTTATTGTAGACACATTAATACTTTATTATTGTGACAGTTAAATGTGCAATTTAGCCAAACAAGAAATGTAAGCTAGCACTATTTCTTTGACGAAGGATGTTTATCGTCGCGAGCTTGCGGAGCTACGCAACGTAACTACGTCACGTCCGATTCTTCAATCCCAGCCTGATACAAACATCGTAGCTAACGGTAGAGATGGCGTCCAGGATGTCATACTTTAACGTTACCTAGCCAAAGCGATGTTTTTTAAATTTATCCATCGGAGGAAGAGTTTACCCGACTGAATCTACAAACGTTGAATAACCGGACACAATGGAGGAACCGTGGGACTTTGAGTTTTTGTCCCGCATAGCTGACGGCTGCTTGTCGTTCCTATCCGAGTTTGTTGACGACTGGCTCGCCAACGATATGAGGGTCTCCATATTCAAAATCCTTCTCAGCTGGTTAATTTTTAGTCTGATCGCGATTCACTTTGCGTGGAAAGTCTACGGGAACACAGTGAACGATATGTATTACCGACAAGGTGAGTGTTCTTTGACTGTATCTGTGTCACTTGCTAAACTAGTGCTAGCCACGTTTGCCTCATCTGTCTTTTTGGTGCTGCATTCAGGGACCGGACAAAACGGAGGCACACCAGATACAGCACCTCACCTGAGTGGATGGTAGGTGTCCGAGCACCCATGTCGCTTCAACAAGGTAGATGATCCTCCTCACTCACTGATGGTCCTGTTTGGTGCTCTGAAGCTGCAGTTGGGATTGGTCACCATCAGTGCAAAAGCTAGTTTAGGATCTCTGCCCATTTCTTTTCTGATTGATTGGACATTTAATAGTTTAGGGAGACTGCATCTAGCTGTAAAAGTTGAGTTGATTCAGTGTGATTATGCTCTCTTAACTGGAGCTGCATCATTTATTGAACACCTATGACTAGTGGTGGTGGAGGAATATATGTATGACAGCATTATACATGTTTTATCACTCTTTAATTGCATTCCTGTCACTGACATTGTGTTGTTCTTGCAGGGAAAGCAAAGCAGGAGACGCCCCGAAGACTCATCGAGATTAATGGGACAATGGTGTCGGACTTTGGGCTCTATCTAAGCGAGAGCTGGACTCCTGTGATGAGACATTGAATGCACTCTCAAGTTGTGCTCATAAGAAAGCATCTTCAGTGCATTAAAGATGCCTGCACGCTTTGGTGACTGCCCGGAGAATCATCCGTTACGCATACCAACAATGTCACACTGATATCCACCAAATCAACTGCATAGTGCTGTGAGATATTTATTTTGGCTTGTCAACATTGGTCATTGAGCAGAACCTTACTCTGCGTTAACTGGTGTGTCTGACTTAATAGTCAACATTTTCCCTAAGAGATACTGATGTGACAAATACTGATGGGTTTGTGCTTAAATTAAGGGTGCTTTAAAAACACTGTCTTAATAGCAGACATAATATTTTCCACTCTGACCATAAGCAGAATAATTTGACTACATAAAAATGTTGTATGGAAGGAACAACAGTATATTTCAAGTCAATACAGATCCCTGAAAAACAGTTTACGTCTTACATCTTCCATGATTTTTGTGTGCAATTTTAACTCACTGTTTCTCTTAACATATAGGAAGCATTGTGGGCATTTAATGTGAGAGTCTACAGAGTGCCTGTCTAGAGAGTGTTCTCGTCCTTTGACTTTTTCTTGTTTCATTATTTTTTCCAACACTGACTCACAGCAAAGTCCTGCATCAAGGTGAAAAGAAATCTCACATTAACCCTGTTTATGACATACCTACAGTGCACAATTTGAATGAAAATGACCTGTGTGTAATCAAGATATTAGAGATTATTTTACAGTATGTATCTAAAAGGACAAACGGCTGGTTACTCATCAATATTTTGACATGAAACCACAACACAGAGAAACATTAGTGAGTAACAAAGTAAAACTTATGGAAAGGGAGGAGTTGCATAAGATCTGGGCTGCAATAACACAAATCACCAGTAACCCACCATAATGCACAGTGGCATGTTGAGGCGAGGCTTCCATACAGCAGGCCCTAGTGGGTTTTGAGAGGGTAAAATTAACTGGAAAATACAGGTAAATCATGTAGAAAAAGCTGCTGCAATGGCTTAAAACAACAATGCTATTGTCCTGGAGTGGCCAATTCAGGGCCTGCATTCACTGTCCAATCCATAATGCGAAGCAGGACATGAAGATGCTGTTTATCTCATTTTGGTGTCACTCAAAAGTGCTTGAGCAATGAATTGCAGTATTCAGATTTGCAAAGCTGAAACCAGCCTATCCTTATTGTTTAGACTGCTGCCAAAGGTGCCTCTTTTCTTGAGTGAGAACATGCCCTGTTAATAATTTTTATATGTTTATGCCCAGTACATATGAAAGTTAAATTTTCACATTCAATTTCTCCATTAATATGTGTCAAAGTGAAGTTTGATCCACTATGAGTTCATGTAAAAGAATAAAACATGAAAAAGTCAAAGGGGGTTGAATGCGTTTTATGTGCATTGTATGAGCCATCTTACAATCATCTATTATAACTCAGCTGTAATAGCTGATTGTAAGTTAAACTTACATGTTATAATACAGTTATAATGGTAAAGACAAGTCTGTAGTACAAAACAATGTGCTGCAGTGTGTGTTTACAGAAATGTTTAATGATGTACATAGTCCTTGTCAGATGAACTAAAGAATAAAATCAGCGGCATATTTAAGGTGTCTAAGTACCTGAAGAGACCAGCAGCAAAGCTTTGTTGAAATAGCTTGATATTATATTAAAAAAAAAAAACTGATTTTATTCACACTTTAATTACTAGAGCTTGGGTGTTTTATTGTTTTTTCAGTGATTTAAAAAAAAAAAGATAATTCAATACTCTGTGGTCATCAGAATTTCATATAGCTACACCAGTGTTTCATGTAGTTTCACAGATAAGTGTGAAAATGTCTGTGTAGTGTTGGAAAAAAAACATGTACTATGATGCCAAGCCACACAGACTGATAGAGTGCTTTATTCATACAGACCCACTGGACTTAGATACTTTTATCTCATGTGCTTCGGCATTATCTTATGTTAATGGGAATTGGTGGAATAAGTAGCATGTGCACATCCATCACATTCGTGCAGGTTAGGCCTGGTACAAGTAAGCGCTGCCCTTTGGAAAGACGTGTAAAAAAAGTGTAAGAATCATTGTTAGTAAGGAAGGTTTCAATGTCCAGCCCCTGTGCTTGGGCCTCTACACACAACCCCCCATCTGTGATAGCCCCTGCTGCCTCAGTGGGTCCGTCCTGACCATCAGTTCCACCACTCAGGAACACAGGACCGTTAGGCGGGAGCTTCATGCCTCTCAGCTCCACCCCCACCCGCATGGCCAGCTCCTGGTTTCGACCACCTCGACCCATGCCTGTCAGCTCCACGGTGGGCTCCCCTCCAGCTAACAGACATGTGGAACCCCATCCTTCTGTGCGCCCTTCACCCAAGACCTGCATGGTGCGGCAGAGGTCCCAGCTCTCCACGCCTACTTCAGGCCCCAGCCTCAGCACCTCAGCAGCAATCTCTGGAGGAGGTTCCTCTCTGGAACAGGCGAAGCGGGCCAGGAGCCCGTACAGTCTGGAGACTGACTTTACATCACCACATACTCCTGGTGCCAACACAACCGGACGGAAGCCTAACTCTCGAGCACGGCGACCTGCACACTGGAGGGCGATGCTGTTGGAGCCAATCACAGTGTTGAGAACATTTCCTGACGTACTGGATTCATCATTATTCTCCCTCAAGCGGGGACTTGGTCTCCCGAGGACTTCCTTTACTGAGGCTGGTAAAGAGCTCAACAGCTTGTAACGTTCAAGGACTGACAAAACTTCTTCAGGCCACACCTCTGTCCACACTGTGGGGCCGCTGGCTATTAAGTCCAGAGGGTCTCCAATTACATCAGACAATATGAGTGAAACCACCTGTAAGGAAGTGATTAAAGGAGCGATCAACACACAATGCTGGCTGTTGTTCTCCTCTACAATAAAAAGCAGATTAAAGAAAGTATGTTACCTGGGCCGGGTGAGCACAATGTGCAAGTCCTCCACCCTTTAAGAGAGACAGGGCACGTCGCACAGTGTTCAGCTCTTGAATAGTGGCGCCAGCACCTGCAAGTTTGCGGGTCACTTCCTGTTTCTCTTGCAGTGAGATTGGAGGGATGGGTGCAGGTAGTAGTGCAGAGCCTCCACCTAGACACAGTTATATAATTATTATAAGATTTACATTTCGAGGCAGGGTTTTGTGCAGTAAAGCAGCTGGTTGAAATGTATAATTTGTACCTGAAATCAGTACAAGTAGCAGGTCGTTCTCCGTCAGCTCGCTGGCTATCTGCTTGATGCTGTCAGCTGCCTTCTGGGCATCAGTGTCAGGCAGGTTGTGTTTCGCTCCCTCCATCACTTTGATGCGACTGTTTTCTTTTAGCAAGAGATGTCTGTGATGGAAATGGGAAATTATATCATACTGCTTAATCTAATTATTGTGCAATGCATTAACTTACATCCTAATGCTTTACTTACTCTTTTCCATGCTGCCGTAATGTCTGCTGAATCCCATGTGGCACGCTTATTATTCCATTCACCAAATGATCGCCCACGATCCTCTCGGCTTCGGCAGCCATACCCAGCACAGCTTTTCCAAAGCCCACCAAGTGCAAGTTGTGATTGAGTGTGAACTTGTGACCATTGATAATGACTGAGTCCTTCTTGCGCTCTATACTCTGCCGGACCACAGTGTCAGGCTGCACAGCTTCCACAGCGGCTGCAAACACCATGCGTGCCCGTGAGTCCATTGACATTTTGCACAACACAGGTTTTCTCCTGTCCACAAGGGCCAGAAAAGCCTGAGGCCGAAACAGGGAAAGAACGCGGGCCATGGACAGTTCAGTCGGTCTGAGTCGAAGTTGCCTGAGGGATTAAAAAATCATAGATTATAGAGAATTTCCACAAAAACATGCTTATTTTAAAAGACTGTACACCTTATTTAAAATACAACAATGTGCAGAGAGGAAAATGTCAAATATTCAACAGGTGTCCACAAATATTTATTGTTGGTTGAAGGTTATTACCTCTCAAGTAAATGCTGAAATATCAGAATTTTAACTGCATTTTAAATTAGTAATTACAAAGCACACTGACATTCCCCAAAGAACTTACATTTCTGCAATTCTTACTGAAAGCACAGTCTCAAAATTCAATATATTAAGGAATTCATGATGTTTTTGTTAGTGTCAGGGGTCACTGCTGTACTGGATGGTGCGGTGAGTACTGTTCAAAAGTAAAATTAAATCAAAGTGAGGTAGTTGCACAACTTAAATTACTTGCACAGCACATTGAAGATTAAAACACCAGTGACAGTCGCAGTAAAATAATGAATTTAACAGCCAAGTGGTCAAATCCAAGCCAAAAACAATTGGACATCCATATTTATAATGGAATATCATACTCAAGCAAATAAGCTGGTCATATCTAAAGACTTCAGGAGCACAATAGTGCCTGTTGGCTTGCTTTAAAGGCCTGAAAAGAAACTGCCTACTTTTTTGTGGTTAAATCAACCCAAACCTAGATAATAAATACAGATAATAGCTGTTATAATCCTGAGCCAGTTGCACATTTCCTGGTAAAACTGCTCTCTGAAGACTCATGAGGCGGCCTACCTGTAAGGTTGTAACTGGGATATAAAGCCTGTGGATTCCTGTGGAAGCCTGTTCTGTGCGCTCCAGCTCAGCAGTCAGGCAGTGTGGCAGAAATATGACCAGAGGCTGACTGGAGTTGTGTACCCTGTGTGTAATGATTGACTTGAATGGACCACAGGACGCATCAAACCACTGATCACCCAGCCGTGCAGTTGTCTCTGAGGTTTTTTATCCCCCCCCCCCCCCCATCCCCAGGACAGGGTGCACAAAAAAAATAGTGTATCTGACAGACTTTGGAGCTATTTATGCTGCGGCTTAGTTCAAAGAGTACACAACCTAAAACTAGTTTTCACTGAATTCATGTGCACACTGATCGCAAGTCTTCTTTCCTCTGAGTTGTGGAGACACCTACGTTAATGCTCTGTTTGAAATGTATTAATAAGGCATGTAAACTAAGTGTGCATTGTTTGTTTATGACAGCTGACACACTTTTAAAAATGGCAGGTCATCAGGAGAATATTATTTTATGTTAAATTTTGGTATTGAGCCAATGGGACTTCACAGACTTTTAGTATCATCTAAAAACTGACATAAACATTCAGGATCAGGTCATACAGTGCTGAAAAATTCTCTTTTTGATTTTTTTTTTTTTTTACTTACAGCTTGTCATCAAAGATTTAACTTGAACATCTAAGACTTTTAATGCACTCAAGAGAAATACTTTTCTCTCAATTTGTGGTTACAAATTTGTTAAAATCAGCATGAGTGAGCACTTTTTCTCTTCCAAGATAATCTGTCCAATTTACAGGTGCAGCATATCAAGATGCTGATAAACAGCATTATTACTACACAGGTGTGCCTTGGGCCGATCACAATGGAAGGCCACTCTAAAATGTGTAGTTTGGTCACACACTGCCACAGATGTCACAAGTTTTGAGGCAGGCAAGGCAGCTTTATTTGTATAGCACATTTTATACACCAGGGCAATTTAAAGTGCTTTACAGAAATATAAAACATAATCAAGGTAAAGAGACAGTAAAATTGTCCATCAAAGCTGTTGCCCTTCATTTGACTGTTCATTTCACTACTATGAGCCATCTCCAATGTCGTTTCTGTGAAACTTGCGCAGTTATGAGGTTGGCTGGATATACTGCCAAATTCAGGGAAAAATGTGGTCTAATGTGGTCTATATGCTGAAAAACAGTGAAATGTGTCTTTATTGCATTTTCACAAATAGAATAAAGGTTTCACAAATCAGAAACTGTGTCTGAATGAATGTTTAGCCTCTGTAGGATAATCTAGGCCAGATTTGAGAAGTCTAGGTACAGTGGTTTTTGATCTGGACCTGGTCTAATGTGGTCTTTATGTTGAAAAAAAACGGTGAAATGTGTCTTTATTGCATTTTCACAAATAGAATAAAAGTTTCACAGATCAGAAACTGTGTCTGAATGAATGTCTAGCCTCTGTAGGATAATCTAGGCCAGATCTGAGAAGTCTAGGTACAGTGGTTTTTGATCTGGACCTGGTGTATTGAGGTCAAGGTATAAAACAAAAACGGTGAAATCTCCCTTTAGCATTTTCACAAATAAAATAAATGTTTCACAAATACAATAGTGGGTATCAGGCAAAGTTAATGTCTTACCTAAAATGTCTAAAATGCTTTCACATCAAGAAGCATCACAAAAAACTGACAATCAGTGGACAAACAGTCGCACTGCACATTAAGTTAATTTCCCCTTAACTTTCCCCTTAAGTGCCGAATCGGAAGCTAACTTCAGCGTCGTATATTTGCTGAGGAATAATGTTTGTAAATCAGAGTAGCGATGTGGACTCAAACCGACACGAGCCCAACTTTGACTGTTACCCTGGTCACCGTGGATCTGTTACGCTACCCGAGCTCACGTGCGCACTCTTTACATTTATCATAAACACACAACGGTTAAAGCAGGTTCCTACCTCAGGGTGTTTCTGTGAGGACAAAACTCCTGCTGTTGTTTTCCTCTTCACGTCTCCTGCGTCCATTTTGCTGCCTGGAGCAAAACCTAGAAGCTGGGAGACAACGGGACAGGTTCACAAATGACACAGAAAGTGCTGGACCAGAGGGCGGCTGCTACTAGCCTACTGTTTCATACAGACGGTGACAAATGAGAGGAAAGAGACACAGGTGTATGCAGGTGACATTCAAGAGTACAATATCCACCCTCCTCCCCTACACCAACTCGTAAAGAGGGGAAGTGAGTTATAAAACCGTCCGACAGCGAGACTGCACTGGTGTCCGGTGTCCACCTAGTACGGACCGTGTGCAACACCGTACTGTGTTCGTCATGACAGACGCTGGTACACATGATGACGCGACCACCGTTACAAACGTAAACTGCTCAAACTAAAGCAGGATTTATAGTTGTTCGTAGACCCTATGCACATAGTGTACGCCGTTGCGAGTATTTATACATGTGGGGTGGTGTGTCTGTGTCACTCTGCAGTTACACCTCCAAAACAAAAGTCAGCAGCAGAGGTTTCTATGAGGTGCTGTAAAGTTTAGTTGATTCAAAACACACATTAAACCCACATTAAATACACATTAAATATGGCTTAATACAGTGTGCCAGTAAACCCGGAACTCCATTAGCGCTTTTAGCACTTCTGGTTCTCTCGTCTAAAAGTCAAAACATTTTTTGAATGGGATTTTGGTAAAATGCCTCAAATAAGGTCTGTGGTTAACAAAAGCTTAAGCGAGTTTCAATTTTTGTTCTACAACATAAAACACGTCAGTAAATACCCTACTTGTGAATTTTGAAGCTTTTACGTGTCGTAAAAAAGGCGGTTGCTAACAAGCTGCTCAATACGACTACAAACCCTGTCGGGGACATTAATCGTCATCACCCCTGAACAGGCGAGAGTGCTGGCAGTCCGCCATTACAGCTTCTTATTTAGCTTAAACAGTCCAATTTCCCCATTATACAATGTTTTTAAAATAAAGCGGCCAAAATCAGTTGGAAGCTTAGTGGCGGTGACATCAAGAGTCATGCGACTGTGGAGTAGTCATGTAGTCCGTTAAAGCCCAACGTTAGCTTTTTACTTCTGGCGATCGCATTTAAGCTTCAAATGCGGTATGAAAGGTGTTCATATGTGAAGATTATCTCGCTGAACAAAACCTGTAAGTATCATAAACTTGTGTTAGCCACAGAGCTTATTTTCTGACATAATCCAAAACGCAATGCAAAAATCACATTCACTTTCTCTTCCGGGAACCAGCGCGATGCTAAACTTCCGGGTTTTGACGTCAGCCCTGGCACACTCTAT